GAACCGGAAGAGAGGTCGGACAGTTAAAAAAATGGCCACCCACATATTTGCTGCACGTGCAAACGACAGGGCAAAAAATTGCACCAGCCCCAAAGGGTGGCAAGGTCGTCAGTGGTTTTCACACAACAGACCGGAGGCTAGCATTAGGCGTCCGGTTATGAAACCAAAGAACCTAGTGCCACGGCGAGAAGCATCTGTAGTCGTCTATCGGATCTGGTCCAACTGCGTCTGTTGAACTGAAAGACTGCTCCAGACGCGAACTCCCGGACACGGGGCAGCAGTGCGGGAAAATGACAACAGTTCTCAGGTTTCGCGGCTCATTCGACGAGAACCGGGCTGCACATTCATGTTCGATGATGCCGAAGGTCCCGCGATGGGTGACCATCACATGAGCTGCAAGTTGTCGAGTCATTGTTCACGGGCCCAAGGAGCCGTTACTTTCCCAATTGATCATCGGCGCTGAAACTTGGTTTGTCCAAAGCAGTCAGCTACTCGGCGGTCGCCCAGGTCACCACACTTTCTTATGCCAGTGCCAATGAGTCAGGTGGCCGGACAATCATCACGCCGACCTCCAACACGTGTGAGGAAATGTCATCTGATACCGAACCGCATGTCAGTCACAAAGCAATCAGCGTACCAACGGGCAATCATCCTCGTTTCAGGGGGTGCCGTTAATTATCTCACTTACAGTACGGCCTAGAATTCGTGTAGTATGCCGACACATTAGAAAGATTGATATTCCCTCGCTAATCGACATTAAGTAAGACTGTAATACTGATTATCGTGTAGTCTTTTCTGAAGCCAATTCAGTCACGATAGGATGTCGGCCTTTTAATGAGCTCCATTCTGACCATTAACAAAACGTGCGTACAGTTGAAAGTAGCTACTTAAGTAGTATGCAATATATGAAAAATATATTTTATGGAAAATATAAACGAAAAAACTATTACTTGGACTCGTTTGGTAAGAAATTACGCCTTCTTCAAATTCTATTCTTAAAGAAAAGTTATCCTTCGGTTTTAAAAATTTTTCTTCTTTTGAGCCTTTTTACGATTGTGAGGTATTCATTCATAATACATCGTATTCTTCAATTTATTAATGCTTTTTATAACGTATACAGCATGGTCCAAATATATTGCAATATTTTATGAGGACTATGTGACTTCTTCCTCAAGCTGTAGGCAAAAATGCATTTTTCCTTAAACAGGATATACACAGCGCGCAGTTTGTAAACCTTGCATTCAAGTGTAGCAGTCAATTAGTTTCAAAACAAATCTGCAATTTATAAACTTTTTGAAAACCGAGAGATACCCTTTCTTTAAGTATAAGATTTAAAGAAGGCGTAATTTCCTATCAAACGAGTACATGAAATAACTTTGTCGTTTATGTTTTCCATAGAGTATATTTTGATTCATAAAGGTAGTCAAAACCAATGATGAAAATGCATACTACTTAAGTAACCACTTTTCACAGTGGACGCTTTTTGATAGCAGTCAGAAAGAAGCTCGGTAAAAAGCCGGCATCCTATCGTGACTGAAATTACTTCCAAATAGACTATATGATAATCAGTATTACAACCTTACTCAGTGCCTTTTAGCGAGAGAGTATCAATCGGTCGCATATGTCGGCATGATACACGAATTTCAGGCCATACTGTGTGTAGCAGCCTAGCGATTGCATCCTATTCATACTCCAACTCCCTGTGTAAGAATTGCCCTTTTCTGATGCTGCCTCTGAGGGTGGGTTCGAACTAGAATCTGAAACGTCAGGCGAAAAAATGTGCCTGTCACAACGACCACATGTACGTCTTCTCAATTAATTCCTGGTAATCGCTTGCTTCTATTAGCACTGTTACACTTCCTAGAATGCGATTTGACCAAAGGCCTGTGCTCTTTAGGTGTCCATGTGGGAGTGTAAATAGAGGACTATCCATTACAAAAGCACATTCCCAACGAATACAGAGCGATGCATTTTTCGGAAGCCCTTTTTAACGACAGAGTTAGAGGCCAGTAGTAGTGATCTTCTGACTTATGTAGACTGTCGGATTTATCAGTTACAGTTAAGGCCTGCATGAGACGCGTCAGCACTGCCGACAGGAGAAAGTGCCATGGTCAAGACTAGTAGGTGTGAAAGGACAAGTCGGCCGGTTCAAACAGCAGCATGCGCAACTCCGTGTGATCGAAATAAGAAGCCCTGATACAAGTTAAGAAGCATCATCTTGATACAGACAACTCCGTCCCGTCTGTGCCCGTTCGATTCAGTGAAGGCTCCCGTAATGGCTCTGCGGTCCACCTTCA